GAACATTTTCTTCCTGATTGTATTTGAAGTGCATCTCTCATAGTGAAACTGAGGAATGCACAAGAACAAAACAGAAGACAACAGATTAGGTGATAACTTCCAAAGATACCTAATCACGTGTTGTCATCTCCTTGACCCTTTTGTTGTTGTTACTGGCGTGCACTCAGATGAATGAAAGCATGCATTTAGAATGGTAAACTGGACTGTGTTGTTAGCATCAGCTTTATAAACATTTAAAATATTTTTTAACTCAATCTATTCTTGTAGTTCTTGGTTTTTGCTTGCTTTTCAAGTTCTTGTCACAGTGGGCTGGCAAGGACTATATTTCTACAGATCTTCCTAGCAGTCAAAAGATGGACTGGCCATGAACTTAACCGATAGAGGCCCTTCAGTTTCTGGGCTACAAGTTAAATGAGCAGCATCTGCTGTGATCCACACATTGAAGCTCTGAAAGAGTGTTTGGCAGAACTCCTCTGATGTTGCTTTAGGGCCACACGTGGCCAGAGCACAAGAATCCAGCACTGACTGGGAAAACAGTTTCCAAAGGTAACCTACAGGTCACAAATGCATTCTTGAGCTTTGTTAAGTGATGTCTGAATAAAGATTTGTAGCTTGAAACATACTGTTCATCCGATGACTTCGCAAAAGATATAGTAAACAGATTTAAAATGTTTAGGGAAATTGTTTTATAGAAAAGTAGAGAAATAATTTAGGATGAGCATTAAAATATTCATATTTGTCAAACTGTGAAGTTTACCTTTAAGCTATTCATAACTGAAAAGTGCTGCAAAAAGTAATGTTAGCACTTTTTGCTGTACCAGTTATATAACTGGAAAGTGGATATGCATACTTGTATAAGCAAGCAAAGTCTGTGCCACCAGTTACTTTTCTGTTGTGATAAAACACTGTGACCAAGGCATCTTATAAAAGGAAGTGGTTGTTTGAGGCTTCTGGTTCTAGAGTGATGGAGTCTACCACCACCATGGTGGGGATTATGGCAGCAGGCAGACTGAAGTGGTGTGGGTGCAGAAGCTGAGAGCACACATCTCAGTCTACAACTGGAGGCAGAGAGCACAGTGAGAATGGCACGAGTTTTGTGACACCTCAAAGCTCACCCACTAATGACACACCTCCTCCAACAAGGCCACACCCCCTAATCCTTTCCAAACAGTTCCACCAACGGGGGGGACCAAGTTGAACATGAATCTATGAGAGTCATTCTCATTCAAATCAACACAGCCTGCTTTTAAAACTTAACTATATAAAATTGTAACATGGCTAACTAAACTTGAAGAGCTGTTCTGTATACTTTTGTGTTTACATGATTATTTATTTTTATAAATCTATTTATTATTTATTTATTTGAGTGTATGCTTATGCATTGCAAGTACATACATGCCATGTTGCATACAGAGGAACCGAGGTCAACTTTCAGGAGTCAGTTCTCACCTTCCCACTTGTTGAGGCAAGGTCTCCCATTTCTACTGCTGTACTATTGATTTTGGGTGGATCTGGAGCCTTCTAACCATTCTCCTGTTGTCCCATTTCTACGGAGTGCTGGAATCACAAATGTATGCCATCATATCAGGTTTGTTAGGTGGGTTTCAGAGATCAAGCACAGATGCCGGGGCTTGCACAGCTAGCGCCTTCGGCTGCTGAAACATCTCCGTGGTTCACACGATTCTATTTCTATGCTTGTAATTACAGGTTCTTATGCCATGGCTTGGATTACTTCATGTGTTAACCTTTTTGTTTATTCACAATAGAATTGTCTTTCAGACACATGCATATAGTTTGACCAGTTTGTACCACCAAGAGGAATCTCTAAACAAGTCATTTGAGATTGGAGGTGGACAAAATGGTTCTTTTCCAGGTCTCACATCTTATACAGCTTATAAAATTCCATGAAAGGAAGGAAGGTGGTTTCCAGGTATGAGTATTGCAGTGGTTCTAATTAAGAGTCTCACAGTGAGACTGTCCATAACTATCAACTGAGTCTTTTTCTAAATTGGTTTGGGAGACAGTTGAGTTTCAATTACTGAGAAGCTTATATCTCACAGTTCAATGGCATGTATCAGGTACTTAGCAACAGCTCTCTGATGGATAATAATGAGATTTTAATTAGCATCTTGGATCCGTCTAGAAATTTATTCCAAGTTCATTTGTTTGAAGGAGACTAGCCTTGTCTGGGACCTGTTCCAACCTGTTTTCTCAAAGGAAGGGACAACAAGTCTATGACCTTTGCATTTCTGAGTAGATCGTTATCTAAATTCAGGGCTCCCTCTGGAGAACCCATCAGAAGTGTCTAAATACTGAGCACGGTGTGCAATGTTGTGAGTGGAGAGTTGGGGGCACAGTAGCTTCATTTATTGTGGCGTCTTCCTGGGAGAGTGCAGTGGGGAAGGGAGGAAGATGAGCAGAAAGAGGGAGAGAGTTCAAGAACAAGAACAAATACACTGGATGCTGGATTTATGGTTTTTAAAGTGGAGCTGGTTCTCCTAAGACTTCATGAGTCCATCAGGCCGCTCCCTTCTCACTTACCCATTTGGGAATCTTTTGAGTGCATCCACTTGGAGCCAGGCATGGGTATAGAGAATGATGTACAAGAAACCAAGTTCTTCTTTTATGGGGCTGCATTCTGTTAACAAAGGCAAAAAGTAAGTCAATAGTAGTATCATATGGACATAATGGGAAAAAAAAGACATGAGCTTCCTGGGTACTTACTCTTTCTTCAAGATCTGTGGTCTCTAGTAAACTCTCACTAAATCAAGATGTGATGACCACCTCTGGTGGTGCATTTGACCTTCTTTATGAATCATCTTGTAATTATGATTATGTATACACAGAGAGAGGGGATAGACAAAACTTCCTCTCGTAGATCCTTTCTAATCAGATTTCTCTCTATCAATAATTGTTTCAATTTTTAAAAAGAAGAAGCAATAGAAACATTTCTGGTTTTTCCTAAACTACACAAAAAAATTGGGTTGCTAGTGTAAATGCTCTTCTTCTCTGCCTGAAGAAGGGGGTTCCCACCTGCTTAGCCTCTACCAGGCACCCTGAAATTACACTCAACACCCAAAGAGTTCAAGAGTGCAAGGCCACGATTTGGAAAGCATGGGTGAATATATCCACTATTTGGTGACCTTAGCTTGTTCTTGGACGAGAATGTAGAAGCCACATTCTCGCCTCTGCATTGTGGTGGCTTCCTCATTGTCCTGCCACAAGTCCAATGAACCTGTTGCCATCTCTCCCTTCTGTTTCTTGTGGAAGACCCATCTCTGTGAGACACCCTACTCAGGGAATTTGATCTATTACTGTCTTTATTTCTAGGTTCTCTGTCAGTCATTCCCACCTTACACACAGATAGATATATTCTAGACTCTTTTGTAGCAAGCAGCAGCAGCCAGCAACAGATGCATAGCTCTTTTCATTCTGTGGCCCTTCGTCTCTCATCTCTAGCTCAGACTTCCCCACCTGAACTCTTGCCTTGGTGTCTTCTCCACCAGTTATGTCCAGAGGTGTAGCAAATACTGCCAAACACAATTCCAAATATTCTTCACCACACTCAGACTGCCTTCATTTTTTTTTTTTTTGTATGTATTTTTTGAGGCTGTCTCACTATGCAGTCCTGGATGGGCTGGAATTTTCTCTGTAGACCAGGTTGGCCTTAAACTCAGTAAACATTTACCTATTACCCAGATCATATTCCTGGGCATCGTTCTCGATTCCTGGGCTTTGCGCTGGCTCTAAGCCCCTTTCCTCCCATCCTCCACTTGACATGCCAACCACCTTTTGCCTTTCTTTTGTTTTAGGCACAGAGTGAAGAGATAATCTTAGCCTTGTTCTTGATCTTCCGAGGAAAGCATTCAGTCTTTCTTAGTGAGTCTATTTTTGTTGTTGTGGTTGCTGCTTGATTTTTAAGACAGGATTTCTTTGGTAGCCTTGGCTGTCCTGGAACTCAATCTGTAGACCAGGCTGGCCTTGAACTTACAGAGATCTACCTGCCTCTGTTTCCTAAGGGTTGAAGGGGAGGGGAGAAGCAGGGAGAGGAGCAGAGAAGAATGTATAGCTCAATAAAAATCAATAAAAACAAAAAATGCTTTGGGATGCAAAAAAAAAATCCAATAAAATCTTAGAGAATTAAACCAGCAATATACTTAATAGACAGAGGAGAAGCATTAGAGAAAACCTATCATCTTTCTTTTTCCAAAACAGGGTTTCTTTGTAGTCCTGGCGTCCATGGAACTTGATCTGTAGACCAGAGTGGCCTTAACTTCGAGATCCGCCTCTGAGTGCTGGGATTAAAGGCATGCATCACCATGATTGGAAAACCCAGTATCTTTCTATGACTAAAAAATAATTTTTTTGCACAATAAGCTATATCTTGAAGGGAAACTCCTCAACTTGACAGAGCATAGCTATAAAAACCCAGAGTTAATAACAATAGTAATACTCAGCCAGGCAGTTGTGGCTTTAATGTAAGCACTTAGGACTCTCTTAGTGTCCTCATTGTTGTCTAAGTTCTCTGGGATTGTGGTTTGTAGGTTGGTTTTCTTTGTTTTATGTTTAAAAACCACTTTTGTGTGAGGTCACTCAGACACAGAAAGACAATTCTCACATGTACTCACACATTGTTTTTTAATAAGTGAGATCTCATTATTTCTTTCCTTTAAAACCCTTCCCTGGATTACCACTGTACCCAGGAGATCCTTTATACAGTTCCACCAAAAATTCCCTCCCAAATATTTGTGCTTGTCACTCCTTGACCTTGCACTGGTTCTTGCAGTCCCACGACCTGCCAGACTCACTTCCCTACTCTCTTACTGGCTTCTCCTGGGAACCATTTGGATTATGCCAAGTCATTGCCCCTCTGAAAATCCTTCTCTTGGGCACTGCTTCTGTGAGCAGACCTCGGTCTCGAGGTGAGGCATCTCTGGTCACGGTCATGCTCCCATACACCACCTGCTTGCTCTCACTGTGCTTTGTCTGCGGTCCTGCAGGTGATTTATGCCCTAAATACCCGCCAGGATGAGGCAGAGGCCAGTGCGGAGTCACTGCGGGAAGCCCACCAGGAGGAGCTCCAGGATGCGGTGGCTGAAACCAGGGCCAGGCTCCTGCAAGAACAGGGCCGCCCCAGTGAAGATGCTGAGGCCCTTCTGAAGCGCATCCAGACCCTGGAGAGTGCCTTGGAGCTGCAGAAGAGGCTGACACAGGAGGCCCTGGCTGAGTCAGCCTCCTGTAAGTTAGAAACCAAAGAGAGAGAGCTGCGGGCCTAGGCTGAGCATGCTGAACGAGTCCTGACCCTTTCCAAGGAGATGCTGGAGCTCAAAGCTGATTACGAGAAGAGGCTCCTACTGCTGACTAACCACGAGGGCCCCCAGTGGGTCCCGCTATCCCAAGAGAGCCCTGATGCCACAGCTGAATCTGGCCAGCGGCCAGGGATGCACCAGGTCCTGCTGGAGGTGGAGCGACTGAGATCTGAGAACCAGCAGCTGAGCCAGGATTATGCCCGCAAAGCAGAGGAGCTACAAGCCACCTATGAGCGGGAAAATGAGGCCATCCGGCAGGCCATGCAGCAGTCCGTTAGCGAGGCCCTATGGCAGTGGCAGGAGAAGGAGTCAGGCCTTCGAAAGAACTTCCAGGTCCAGGAGTCAGCCCTGCAGGCTCAGGTCAGGAAGCTGGAAGGGGACCTGGAGCACAGAGGGCGCAAGATAAGTGACCTGAAGAAGTACGCCCAGAAACTGAAAGAAAGGGTCCAGGTAAAGCTTCCTCTTCCTCCGCAGGGCGTAAGGGGCAAAGTTGCTCCTTCTGAACACCCACCACTAGTCAGGCACGGTGCTAAGACTCCAGTTCCACCATGGTCCGTATCATTGCAGGTGTCGTTTGGTCCACATCCATTCAACAGGTGTTTATTAAATACCTGCTTTGGGCTGGGTTTATGGTCAGGGCATGCACAGTGAGCTAGGCTGTCCCTGGCCTCAGAGGGCACAAAGCCCTACAGTTTACAGATGAGATGGTAAGTTTACAGGGTGGGGGTAGGGGCTTAATGTCTGGCCCATTCTAAATTCTAAATTATTTTAATTTTGTGTGTTCGTTCTAAAAAAGAAAGGAAGGAAGGAAGGAAGGAAGAAAGGAAGGAAGGAAGGAAGGAAGAAAGGAAGGAAAAAAAGGAAAAAAACTTGACTCTCTTGAAACCCTTAGGACATTTTTGTTCAGAGAGCAGACCCATTGACGAGTCAGTTTTATAAGCCCCACAGAAGCACAGAAACCCATCTCTCAAAGCCACAGCTAGCGTTTCTACTACTCCCCCAGTACTTTTTCTACATACTTTGTCCTTATCCTGCCCTCTCTGGAGAAGAGACAAAGAGCTTTCCCAGAGTCACACTACTACCATCAGCGGGTGGGTAAGGATTTGCTGCCCCCTGAGCTGCTGTGCCGTCCTCACCCACCTTTCAGGTCCGGCAGCTGTTCTGCGCCCTTGGCATCTCCACTCAGAAAACTAAGCCCTTCCCTCTGTTTAGGACCTCGATGTGCAGCTGAGGGAGGCTCGGCAGGAGAATTCGGAGCTGAAGAGCACCGCGAGAAAACTCGGCGAGAAGTTGGCTATTGCCAAAGACAGGTTGCTGCTACAGGAGTGTCACGTGACACAGGAAACTGGTGAGATGCCCCAGACCGGTTCCTTTAAAATGGTGGATTAGCCACCAGGTTTAGTCTGTGTCGGGGACCAGGTTTGACAAGTATACCACTTACCAGGGTAGGGGCATGAGGATTAGAAAAGGGTCAAGTAGGAGAAACAGAGATAAGAATCACTAAGAGGTAGGATAGGGATGGGAGGGCAACTCAGCAAATACTGAATGCTGAATTCACCCGCGTTTATTTTCCATACACCTTTCTTTCTTTTCTTTTCTTTTCTTTTTTTGTTTTTTGATTTTTGTTTATTTGTTTTTCGAGACAAGGTTTGGCTGTAGCTTTGGAGCCTGTCCTGGAACTAGCTCTTGTAGTTAGCTCTTATAGAGGCTGGCCTCTATGTCACAGAGATCCACCTGCCTCTGCCTCCCAAGTGCTGGGATTAAAGGCGTGCACCACCACTGCCTGGCTTTTTTCATACACCTTTCTACCCCAATGCAAACAGGGAGAGGAAGACAAAAGACTGCTTTGTGACTTGACAACTAGAACAGCTTTTGCTTCAATACTTTGAGACATCAGTCATTAGCATTCTGTTGTTTAGGCAGTAAACCCACCCTAGACCAATTATCCTGAAGGCAGCCACTCCCTAAGCCAAACCTATTTCAAAAGAAGGAGCAGAGTCTGCTTGAATTTCCTGGCCATTGGTTAGGGGCGGGGGAGGGGGGGGGAGTGGATCTACCTGTATGAGCCATCTTAATGTCAAAAGGATCAGGTAACCACACCCTAGGGCAGGAAATCTAGTCCTAGTTGTTGTCAACAACTTTGAGCAGCCTCAAACTCTATGACCTTCAGGCAAGGTGCAAATAGGGTCCATTTTGGGCCTACACAAGTCTGGCACCAGGGGCATTTCCTCCAGCCCAAGAGAGCAGGAACAGGGCCATTGTATCTGACCTGTTGAGTGGATGAATCAAAACTGTTCTGGGCACAGATGGGTCAACATCAGCTCCTCAGCAGAAACTGCACAGACCAGACAGCTAAAAGATTTGAAGCAAAGGGGCGCCTTACCCTCACAACATTCTCCACAAGGCCTGCAGTTTTGCTTCTTCTTCTTCTTAATTGATCAGGGTTTTGTATTTTTAGCAGCATTTTGCACAGTTCCATTACTGGGTCTCCCCCAAAATTTTGTGAGACAGGTGTTGTCATCCTCCCATGTTATAGATGATGACGTGAGGCCAAGAGAGGGTAAATGACTGATGGAAGGTCAGCTAAATGTCTGGTGATAAGAGCTAGTGTTAGGATCTCAATGTATTTAACTCTAAGTGTCTTTAACTGGGATTCCACAAACAAAAGTTTTTGAATATTTGAGCTATGACAGGATTGATGGCAAAGGCAGGAATCATGGGCTTTGTCTTTGGGGAGCTTGAGATATGGTTCCATTGTGGTCCGTACGTGCTTTGGAATAGGGTTATTCTGCTCAGGCAGCAGAGGAGCAAGGTATCTGGGGAAAAGAAAAAAATCCCTAAGCTGGAAGGGTGAAGAGAAGAGGTTTGTGTTGGACACAGAAGGGTGTTGAGGGTTTAAAACAGTCATGTCTAGAAATAGGTCACAGGGAATAGAGAAGGAAGGGAAGGGAAGGGAAAGGGAGGGGAGGAAAGGAAAAGGAAGGGTAGAAAAGAGAGGAGGGAAGGAAGGAGGGAGGGAGGTAAGAAAGAAGTTATAGTTATATCTACTGCTTCTCCTCCTTAAACTTCCATGATTATACATATACTGGAAAACATGATCAACTTTGTCAACTCATAGAACATAAAATAACATTTTTATTCAGGAAGGCAGAATATGGCAATTCTTTAAGCTTGGGATAATGTTTTGAATGAAGACAAGAATCAGTACACTGACCACACTTGAGGGCTGCAGGGACTTCTAACAGGGACTACATAGAGGAGTGGTAAGCAAGATGCTTGAGGAGCAGACCTAACTTCAGAAGCCTAGACGTGAGCATTTTAATTGATGCTGAAAGTTATCTTGCAGATGTTGTGAAGACTGAGAACGAAGTCCTGGGGAAAACGAAGGATCTGGAAGTCTGCAGTCTTCATCCTCAGCAGGACCAAGGCTTTCCCAAGTTGTGTCACTGCAGTAAAGGAGGCTCAGAAACAAAGGTAGTTTCTGACAAAACTGGGGGTGGGAAAGTTGGCATGTGCTTCAGGTAGAGGCCATCCCCCTGACCACACTGCATCCACTTGGGACCTCAAGCTTCACTATTCAGGGATATATAAAGAAAGAGTTGAGGCTTCACCGCTGCCTTTTTATTTTATTTTATATGTATGGATGCCTTGCCTGTGTGCATGTCTGTGTACCACTTGCATGCTTGATATTTGCACAGTCCAGAAATAGGATCCTTTGGAACAGAAGGTACTGGTGCGTGTGAGACATCAAGAGGAGAGTGGGAATCAAACCTGGGTCCTCTAGAAATGCAACTAGTGCTCTTGACCGTGGAGCCATCACTCCAGCCCCTGACCAGTTTCTTGCCAGTTCAATGCCAGTCAAGCTTAGGAGAACAAGGGTGTAGCAGAATTTTTCCAAGTTTGTATTGGGAGAACATAGGCATTGCTTAGATCTTATTTCCACTCAAAACATTGCAATGTGGGCTGGGACATCTGATTCTGCGACAGCCAAGGTGTTCTGGAGAGCTCTCCTCCAATGTTATACACAGTAAAATCTCTTACAAATATCAGATATATAGGCCTGTAAAGTGCCTCACACCGTCTGGTACTTGCTATGAAACCATACATAAAGTAGAAAGGAGAAGTGTGCCTCCCAGTTTCCCCCAGCAGTCTTACAAAGTTTTATTTCCCTCTATAGACCAAGAAAGGAGCAAGCGGTGAAATAGAGCGCTTGAAGCAGAAATATGAAGAGGACCTTCGTAAAGTCAGACATCAGACCGAAGATGAGAAGCAGCAGCTCCAGGAGCAGCTGGGGAAGCGCCTGGAGGACCTGGTGAAGAAGCACACTGTGGAAATGAAGTCGGCGCGCTCTTCTGCGGAGGTGGAAAGAAAGAAACTGAAGGTGAGGCGCATTTGTGGATGGCTCTGGTGTTTTTGCTTTCTCCCACCACCTTCCCGCCTCCCTTTCTTCTTTCCTTACTCAGACTTTCATTGGGATCCTGCTGTGTGCACATCTTAGCTGGTTCTCTGACCACAGATAAAGAAAACAGTCATTGCCTGTAGCGAGTATACAGAGTCTCTTGGGGGCAATAATGGGGAACATGTGACGATGGAGCCTGTAGCTTCTGGGGAGCTGACACGGAGCAGGATTGTGTCATGTGTCATTTACCTTAGGGAAATTCAATTCTGCTTACCCAACATAAACAGGAAAACTTCACTAACTGAAACTCAGATTTCCAATATTTCCTAGCCCCTAATTCCAACTCTGCTGCCCACAGGAAGCTATTAGCGGCCCCAGCCCACCTATTCTCAGCAATTCTGCACTCTGGAAGATCCCCGTTAATTCAATAACAGAACCTCACTGAGTACTGTGAGAATTAAAGAGAGAATCATGAGGAATTAAAGTATCTACCTGTGCCCTGTCTCAGTGTCTCTGCTGATCTCACCTCCCACAGAGAAGGGACACTCTCCACAGAGAATGTGTGGGACCCTCTTCTCTCCTGTTAGCTGGAAAGAGTTTGTCACCTGTATGAGGACTGTAGAGAAGCTTACGCAGCACCCACAAAGCTGAGGCAGGAGGATCATGAGTTCAAGGCCAAAGTGGGCTATATATGGAGACCCTGCCTCAGAAAAGGGTGACATGTAAATCAATATTATTATCAACATGGGTGAAGTCTTCATTTGATTATGAGATACATGTCTTTGTGATTTGAGAAGTACAAGCGTTATGTGTTCACTGAAAGATAGTCAGATATCTCTGCAGAACAGTCTTATACAGTGATTAAAACAGTAAGTAATCAAAATATATATTGAATAAATAAATATGAGCACGTGAAACACACACACTATTCCTGGGCCTAGGCTCTCACTCCTCCATAAGCTCTCTGTGGGCCTTAACCTCTCTGAATACAGTGTTTGCTATGCACATCTAAATATGGTGTTACCTACGAACCTCTTGCTGGGTGCAACAACAGTTCAACAGACAACAGCTAGAATTAGTTATCACGTGCTTTGGACAGCATATGAAATGAAAACATTGAGTTCCTTTATAATTTATATTGAATTTTCTCGGATACTTTGAATCTTTCCAGTGTTAGAGAGTAAGGAACTGGGTCCAGAGATGCAGTGTATCAGTCAGACAGAGTGGGTACAAGAGCTTTGATAAACCAAATAACCTATTACCAAAGTCTGTGGCTCCCCACCTTCCACATGGAAAAGACAGCCGTTTTGAATGCATTTTTCGCCTGTGAGCATCTATGAGTGGAACATATATACTCTTCAGACAAACAGACTAACACTCCATCCTGGGACCCCATTAGCAGGAAGGACAGCAACCTTCTCAAGCTGCAGGTTGCCCTGGTAACCTGATGGGCAAATCTGACTCTCAGTGTACAAATATTTCTTCAACCTTGACCAGGTCACAAGTCCATTTGGGACATAAATCATACCAAAATAAACTGTTTGGTTCCTGTCATTGTTTTCCTTTGTGTTCATACTTGAATCTGGAAATGTAAGTACTGCCAATGGACTAGGGAAAGACAAACCCTTGAAGAGACCTCCAATCCTGAGTTAAGGGGCTAAAAATAAATGCAAGTTGTCTCTGTAGCATTAGGGTTGGTTTATTTCTTTGAGCCTGTAGTGTGGGTAGATTGCACACCCTAAATACTACCCTGACTTAAAGGAGCAAATGGCAGGATGTGGGCTGGATGGGCCTAGAAGACCGCATCTCTTTCCTGGTCACAGGACTGGAGGGCATCATCATGCCATCTTGGCAGATGGAATTTAGCGCATATCCTGTTACTAACATTTGCACACAGTGCTTATTTGGAAAGAGATGGAAGCAGATTCTCTGAGCTCTCCCAAGATCCACTCCACATGCCTTCATTTCCCATTTCACTTGGACCACTTAAGATTCCTGGGTCTCACAGATCCATTGGACAGCTGAGCAGGAAAAGTAATTTAGTGTGCAGTGAGGTGGTTTTCTGTAAGTTCAGGAGACTCGGCTTGGAAGCTACCCAACGAATGCTAATATCCCAAATCCACTGAACAACTTAAGTGATAGAGTTGTATTCTACTGTGTGTGCACTTTGACTATCTCTGCATTTTCAGGGCCTTCAGACCATTTATATTCTATTTAATTCTTAAGCCTACTAACTTGACATTTTTACCTTCCTCTCATATTTGTGAGCTGTCTCCACTTTTACTGTTCATTTTTTGATACATTGAGTATTTTTGGTATTTCATTTTTACCTCCACTTTTGACTTCTTATGCCTCTTTTTTGGAGATGGAATACTAGTGTTTACTCTAAGATTAGTAAGAGCCATATTTAAGTTTATCACAGCCTTTTTCAAATAATTTCATATCCCTTCATATATGGGAACCATATTGTAATACGTTCCATTTCTCTTTTTTTTACCCTCTATATGTTTGTTACCATACATTCTACTTTTACCATGTTATAAATCTGATGTTATATTACTTTTGTAGTAAGATACAATTTTTCAGACAGGGCCCTACTATGCCATCCTGGCTGGCCTTGCATTTTCGACATATACCAGGCTAGTCTTAATCTCAGAGACTTGCCCTCCTATGCCTCTCCAGTGCTGGAATTAAAAGTGTGTGCCACTATGCTTGGCCTCCTGAGGACATAATATGTTAGGTTACCTTTGTTGAGCTAGAGGTATAGGTGGCTACAGAGTTATAACCACCCAATTAGTGTTCTGGGAACTGAATTCTGGTTCTCTTTAAGAACAATACATACTCTGAACAAATGAGCTGTCTCTCTAGCGCATATATACATATACATATGACGTGTGTGTGTCAATACATACTCTGAACAAATGAGCTGTCTCTCTAGCGCATATATACATATACATATACATATGACGTGTGTGTGTCAATACATACTCTGAACAAATGAGCTGTCTCTCTAGCGCATATATACATATACATATATGTGTGTGTGTATGTAGATGTGTATATTGTACTAGGAAAGGAGCCTACACCGCAGCACATGCTCACTCTACCACTGAGCTAAATCCATAGTTATTCTTACTTTGTATTTAGCATCTCATTTTGTTGTCAGGCTGATTTTGAATTCACTCTGTAGCCAAGTCTAACCTTGAACTTATGGTCAACAGACTGGACCACTTGACCTTAGAGCAAAGCAAAGCTCCTGTCTTTATAACCTGCTCCATCATTGATATTGAGTTATCAGCAACAGAAAGCAGACTTAGGACACGGCGGCTCCTTCACATGCCTTTCCCTCCCTTCGTGCCTGCCTTTGTTTATTTGAGGTGGAAGAGGTTTTACCTCATAGCCCAGGCTGGCCGCAAACTGCTGCTGCCTTGGCTTCCTATGATTTCAGGTGCACACCACAACTCCCAGCTGTTTCTTTCCTGAAATTCCCAGCAATTGTGGACACTGTAGAGAAAGAGACAGAAAACCCTGCTTGTATCCTGCAGGGTTTCCTCTGTGTAAAAGCCTGCTGCTGGGCACATAAGAGTTCTGTGAGAAGGGAGTTCAGGAAAGCACTCTGAATTTGATAAATCCCCCGTGCATGGAATCCTCTTCGCAGGATAAATCATTCATATATTTGAAAGCATTAATATATTTACTTCGTATTTTTGACCTTGTGGAAGGAGAATATGAATGCTTCTGTTGAAGTCCCAAGGTTACTTGAGCTGAGCTGGGCATGCTTCTTTCTGCCCTGTTCTCCAGCTGACTCAGACCTGTTTCTCACAGTAGCCCGCATTACCCTGTACCCGTGATGAAGCTTATTAATGCAAAAATTTACTGCTGATGTTAGTTATTTCCACCTGTAGGGGATTTGGGTTTCCACCCTGGACCCATCTGTCAAGGCACCAGCTGAAACTGTGATTGATTATGTGCATCGGAAAGTTGTGCTACATAAAATTCAAAACAGCCCTTGCTTTACACCAAAAGCCGGCACACAGTGTTTTCTTTGGCTGTTACAGTGGGAGTGTGTCTTAGCAGACTTCGCTTCCACACCAGTAAGAATGTAAGCTGGACTTTATTCGTTAAAAGCTTCTGTTGGTGCGAAGCTAATTGCTGAAATTAATTTTTTTGCTGAGGGATTTATATGGCTCCTTAATTTATTTAAACATATTTAGTAACAAGGGGTAGTTTATATATTGTCTTTTAAGAAGCGAACACTCCCAAACAGGAAGTCCTGAAGAAGTCAGCACAGGTTGACTACAGACAGATCACATACCAAGCTGCCATCCACCCAGCCCCAACAATCTAATTATAAGTTCATTTATTTATAGGTTTTAAAAAATGGTTGATGCAAGGGCTAAGGGCTTCCCCAGGGCCAGTGCCTGGTCTAGGCCTGGTCCCACAGAGGACATGGAGATGCTGTCCAGGTGATCAGCAGCCTGTGTTTTTAGATGTTCAGATCAGAAACCTAAGAATCGAATAGGACTTCTGTCCACCCCCGGTGTTGAACGCAGAAGTATGTGAATCCTGTTCTAGTCTGTTGGCCCCAGAACATCTGAGTATCCTTTCCTCATGCTTCCCGGTAGATCTAGTCAACCTCCAGGATGTCATGGACCATGTCATAACCTGACTGCTTCCATACCACCAGTCCATTCTAGTAGGATCCTGTGCCAGCTCAGTCTTGGCTGCCAGCTACTCACAGCTCCCTGATATCACAACAGTGAACCTCAGTTCTTTCCCACAGTTCTTCAGACCCTGCAGAGACAGGCTGCTGTTTGCTTCTCCTGCCTGTGCCCATCTCTGCCCTCTTTTTTTTATGTATTCGGTGTTATTGTTCTTTGGGCCTTTGTGTATAGATGTCCCTTAAAGGAGAACAATTTCCTCCTTACTCTCAAACTCACCCATCTAGTTCTTTTTTTAAAAAGATTTATTTATTTATTGTG